CCAAGGCTCCTGCCGGGACTTTGGGTGCGGCACGTCCAACGGCTGCCCCATGGGCGCGCAGTGCAACTTCTGCCCCTCGACTCGATCGCCCGGTGACGGCGTGAGCCGGCCCGGCGCACCCGGGGGTGGTTTTGGCTTCCCTGGAAAAACAAAGTGGACCAACCGGAAAAAAAAGACAACCCAGACCCTGAAAACCAGAACCTTGGGTTACGGGTTTTCCTAGGCCAGAACCTCCCTTTGCCTCAGTCCGTTGACATGATACCCCTCGCACATCTGGAGACCAAGTTTTGAATCCCTGACCCAGATCCCAGGCAAGTCACTATGAAGGGCAACCTGCTGTTTTAGCAAAGGAAGGGTGGTAGCAGCTTTCCCTCAGTTTTTGAGGGGTTTTTGTTGGTCACTCTATGCAGGGACATGGATCTCTGGGCTGCACGTGGTTTGGGAACTTGGGTGAAAGGAACACTTTTTTTGTCTAACCTGGCTGTGGGTCAAAATCCTGGTAGTTCAGATTCCTTGCCAATATTGACCAAACAAAAGGGCAGTTACCCCAAAAAAGGGTATCTGGGTCTTGACTCCCATATCAAAGGAAGCCCCTTGGTAAAAAAGTTCCTAGTCCTAAGGATGTTGCTCTTTGGTACCCAGAACGGGCTATTTCCCAACATATCCCAATTTTGCCGAAGCTTGGGCTTCATGCCCCATTGAAGTCGAACTGGTTAACTCATTACCAGGCTTAGCTTGCTTGTTTGTCTTTTTGACTTTGGGTGGTTCGCTCCGTTGCAAGCAGTTTACTTTGTGCTAAGGAGGGATGTCTCGTGTTAACCCCACAACGACCCTCACAGAAAAACTAAGGGACTCTTGGAGAAATTTGGGGCCTTCCAGTTTGTTCACCTAGAGTCCCCTTCCAATTTGTTCAATCCAGGAAGCCAATATGTTTTCAATGTTCCCACGAGAAAATCAAGAAGGGGATGGGCATGTTGTTCTACTTGTTTGGAGACCTCGCCTCGCTTTGGGTTTGTTACTTTGCTGGCTTCTGCTGGACCTCATCAGAACTGGGCTTGTTTCCTTTAACCTACACCTGCGGGGGGATGTTGGTAGTCACAAAATCATGAGGCCAGTCAGCTTAGCTGCCGATTTCTCTCTGACTGGCCCCTTTTCGTATTCCACTCATGCTACACCTGGGCCGATTCGCCAAAAGTCCGCAAAGGACCGATGCCGATGCCTTGTTTTTCTTTTTCGGTGACCCGAACCCCAAGAGAGTCCAAGTATCTTTTCAGGTAAAATCGGGACAAAGTTTGTAAGGCACTTGGAGCCTCAGAAATTTGGGGAGGTTCGCTCTAAATCTGCTGAGAATCATTCCGTTTCCGAGGCAAGTGCACACCAGACTGCCACGACAGCGGGGACTGCTGCCCAGACTTTGATCAGCTTTGTGCAGGCCATGTCCAGTCAGCTGACGTCAGTTTGGCTGCCCCCTCTGGCCGGGTCTGTGGAAGCTGCAAGTGGGGGGCGTTGTTTCCCGGCAAAAGATTGTCAGAAACTTGTTGGGAGGCGGGTGACGGTTGTTTCTTCCTTCTTGGAGACGAAAAGAAACTATTTTGCCCGAGGCTCCAAATGTGCCTCTGTCAATTCAGGCTTGCTTCAAACTGCTTCCCCAGAATTAGTTCCCCTTTTGGCTTTTTTGTTTTTTTGGGGGTCCCTTTGCTTTCCACTAACCAGGCATTTTGTTTTTGCTGGGGTCCTAATTAAGACTGGACGTTCGAACTGTTAAATTGTGGTGTCAATTCATCACTGGGGCCCCCTTCCGTGGGAATCCATCACTGTGGGTGACACCTCCGAATTCGTGGGAGGGGCGGTGTTTGATTCCGGGTCCTGAGGTGCACGTGACGCGCTGCCTCATCATGGAACTTGCATAGCAAAAATATCCCCTTCACAGTGATAAAGTAGTCATGGGAATGGTCTGTATTGGTATCACCGAAAGCGTGACCTTCTACAACCATGTCCGGAAGGTTGACCGATCACATCCCTTGGCACCTTTTGGGTTTTCGAGGGAGACATGGGCAGTCAACCACCCCAGGGAGCTTGAAATGAATCCCCACGCCAAGTGCCCACTGCCCACTGTTGTTTTTTTCAGGGTATCATGTGACCACCTGACTCACCCGCTTGTTGAAACAGCTTGTTCAAGCTCTCTAAACCCTAAAACTAAGTGGTTATGTGGAGTGGGGGGAAGACGCTTCTGCAACAGCTGTTTGCCAGGGCACCCCCCGAATGGCAGTCAAATGGCTCCCCCGTAGCCACCGGAGGTCACTTAGGAAGCCATTTGACGGCGCTTGGGGAGAGCTGTTTGAGCTTCCCGCTGTGTTTGGAGTCCGGTGGTTCGGAGGCTGCGAGAAATGGGTCCCAAGTTTCCACTGAAACCATGCGCGGATGATGACTTTAGCCCCAGTGTCACTGGAGACCAGATGCCAACTACCCCTACTTTAAATACCGGTATATTTGGAGAAGGTCAATGCCTCATAGCCTTAAAGAAGAGTATGTGGAGCACGGGGCTGGGGTTGCCCGATTTTCAATGACTCTGGCAGGCACTTCCGATGCGAGTGGATCGCAATCGCAGGAGCGCTGGATCGATCGCCCCTTCAGTTGCTCAGCACCCTGGACCCTCAAACGACCTTTCAAACCTGGTTGATTGGGGGGACCGGGTCCCCACCATCCTGCCGCAGGTAGAATGCTAGGGGAATTTTACAGAAACCGGCTCACTGGGGGTGTCCATGATCATCGCAACTCCAATCCTTTTTTTTCTCCAGGGCTCCATTTAGAGCCTCCTGCGGGGCAGTGTATTGGCTCGCTGGCGTTCAAAGCTTCAAATATGGTCTCGCCACGGTCACCTGCGGCTTGGGGGCAGAGAACTCGTGGATCCTTCGGCAAAGGGCTTCCTAAAGGACACAAGTTGCCAGGGCGACATTTGACTTGAAAAAACAAATCGCTGCTGTCTCAGTCCACAAAGCCCACGTTTCGCGGTTTTGAAGTTGGACACGGACCGAGCTGTTGGGAGCAAAGAAAGACATCCCTGATTGACCTGGAACCCGAAATGGGGTCGGGGGGGTCTTTTGCCCAAACACGGATGCCACTCTGTTTGAAATTATGGCAAGCCCTTACCTTTGCGGTTGTTCCCCTTTTATTTGTTAGGTGGACTGTACTTTCTCAAGCCAGGAAGAGGGCCACGGCTTTGACGGATATCAGGCTGGCCGTGGCTTTTTGGTGTTTTTTCCTGTTGTATTTGTTGCGCGTTTCCAGGGTGAGCGGGTGCCGTTTGTTTTGGCATATTGGGACGAAAGACATGGGAAATCTGTTCCAGAGTTAGATGGCACAGTTCCAAGCCATTTGGGTTTAGTTGTCTACAGAACTCCTTTGGGGCGTTCCTGATTCCTATCAAGAAACTCAGTGGATCCATTTACCTGAAAAGGTAACCAAGAGAACCACCCTTTACCTAAAAGGAATCCTTTCGGGAAATTGTAAAACGTAGAGTTGCAAACGCAGCTGGTTGCAAACTTGCGCATGTGGAAGCGCCTGGCAACGAGGCAAATGGATCCACAAACCACGGCCAAAAGCGGCTTGATCACATTCCCACGGCCAAGACAGGCTATGCAACCTGGCAACGGATTGAGGTCTTCGAATCGGATCCCATGGGATTCCAATGGGATCCCAAGTGTCCCTTGGACCTATGGACCTATGGGGGCTTTCGCTGGAGCAATGAGCAATTGGTAACAATTGGTTCAGACATGGGACATTCGTGCTCCTGTGAGAAAGAAAGGTCAGCAGCGCCCCCCGCGTGCGCTTGTTGTTTCAAGCATCCTTTGTGCCTACAGGCCTGCGTTTGGTTCCACCGCAACATTTTTCCGCATATTTTTGGAAGAGCCCCTCCCCCCTAAAGCCCCTATAGAGAAAATCGGCATCTAAATAGGCTTCCTGCAAGGATACCGCGGCAGATGCATCCCAAAACCATCTGCTTTTCATGAGCAATCTCTAGATCACATGGTGCAGGCCACTATCAAACCGACAGGTGCTGCTTAGATGGATGGCTTTGGCAAGGGTCGATTTGGGTTCTTCAAACGCCCCCCGAGATACGCCGTTATTCGAGGGGATGATTCCTTTTCCACTCTTTTCAACCATTGTTTTTTCTCCAAAAACTAGCCGTTTCCCTGGTTTTCTTGAGGTTTTCTAGAAAGAAGGATCCCTAGAAAGAATGGGGGGAGGTACCCCTAAAATCATATTGCAAGGGAACGAGGCGAACCCTATAATTTGCAACAGTTCACCATGGTTGTGTGCAAATCTTGCAAGTGCACCAACTTGCACCAACTTGCACCAAGCCTCTCCAACAAAACCATCATGGTGGACTGCAGTCAATGCAGCCCCAAAGGAATCCCCCGGTGACCAGAGGTTTTTGTGGATAGGTCAAGTTGGCAGATTCCAAACCTGATACTCTTCATGCCTGGCATGAGAGCCCCGGATTAAACCCATCCTGGGTGTCACACAGAAACGTTTTCACACATCAAAAACAAAAGGACTCCCCGAACAAAATCATCCAGGGGGTTGACATTAAGTTCGATTTTCACAGTCAGAAGTCTTGTTTGAAGCAAGAACACAAACAAACCCTGAAATCAATCTCTGCCCGTCAATGAATCCGGTTTGACATATGGAAGACGCCCTGCAGGACGTCCATGACTATCACGATCACAGCCCGAGCGGAAGCGAGGACCAGGGCCACTACTGGCGCAGCTGGCACAGCACTGAGACGTGGCTGAAAAAACATCCAAACTATCCTGGATCTGCCTGAAAACCGGAATATTGGGTGACAAGGGGTTGTGTCCCATTTGTAAGGGTAGCTTGAGGGTCCCGGTGGTTAAACTTGTTATTTTTTTTTTCACAACGACATGTAAATGGTTCGTATAAGCTGCTTTTGGGCGGTCTAAGCACGGAGACTTGCGTTTTGGTGCCACCTTTGGTGCTTTTTAGGGAAACCCTGAAGTTTCAAAGAGATGGGAGCCCCACTTTTGTGTCACAAGGCTTATTTCCCACATGCTGATACAAGCAGTCTGGCAAAAGAGCAGGACTGCTTACATGTATTTTGGTTTTAGGGGGCCCTTTTCAAAGTTGGTTCAAAAGGGAATCCGAAGGAACGACACCATGGGGGTCCCCCTTGACACATATCCATGTGTTTCTTTCTGTGGAAATCACAGGAAATCTCCACTTGGTTGGCTCTCCCATTTCGGCAAATCCATAATGTCCGCTCTTTTGGCTGGTGTTAAGCCACTTTTGGAAGGGCCATTTTCCCCTAGCTTTCAAGGGAAATCACTGCTGGTCATGCTTTAAACCACATGTTACAGCTTAAGAAAATGGAGGTAATTCCCCCGAACCTTCCATGGGCACATGATACTGATCGATACCCTCAAGGTCTCTTTCTTAGTCTCACATGCACATGGTGCTCAGTTGCTATAGGGTTTGCTCGGCTGAGTAGTAAACCTGCTTGATGCCGCCAACCCGCTGGATAGTGGATGCTTCACTTTCGGCGGAAACATCCCATCCGCGAGGGGGTTATTAATCCGTGGCCACGATGAACATGTCCCTTCAACAACACCGCATTTTCCCAGTGCTTTCAACCTGCGACCAGTTTTAGTGGTCCACACCCATTTGACAGAAAAAAAAAAGCCACGCGTCTGCTTTTTTGGACTGGGGTTGCCACGTTAACCGCTTTCTGGGGGGTCGAGGAGCACGCCCATGGCTACGACCAAGATGGATATGACCACGGGCACAGCGACTTCGGCTCCGGAGCCACCGGATCCGAGGCCTCGAAGGAAAAAACGTCGCAGCGGCCGTCGGAGAGGTTTTTTTTCCCCCCCCCCCCCGTTGTGTGTGTGTGTGTTTTTGTGGGGGGGGGGGCTATGTTATCCTTGTGTCTTTGTTTGTTGGTTTGTTGGTTTGTTGGGTGGGTGGGGGTGCGCTTCTTTTATCCTTGTCTGTTTCAATGCTTTTTGTTTGTTTAACATACCGGTTTTCAGTTTCTGTCCTTGTCTGTGGGGACTTTATTTTCGTCCTTTGGTGTCCCAGAACCACTTCATGGTGTCCCATGTAGAAGATCCATTTGGCACATGTGACACAAGTCTCTGAATATCATGTAGGGTTAATAGGGTTAACGTTTTTTGCCGCAAACAGTGTGTCTACACCAGGGGTTCTTGCAGTAATTGCAAGGGAGGGTGCTCATCAGGGCTGTCTGCACTGCAACAAGTATCACACGTGACTCTGCAAAGGTAAAGTTGATTGAACACAGGGCAAACAAACACACATCTTAGGCTCCAGGCAGTTTGAGAAGTATTTCCAGGGTTTCCCATTCTGGCTATTTCCTTTGGAACCTGGTGAAATCATCAATTTCCCTGCTTCGGAAAACCAACTGCCCGGGCGGCAGTGCTTGCTCTGGGCCGATCTGTTCGTTTGCGCAGGATCGCACAAGAGTTCCTTTGTGAGATGTTCATGTGCATTTCGACTGCGCGGGCTCGCGCAAAGTGCGTGCCCAACTTCGGTCTTCCAAGGGTGCGCTCTCGTCCACCCTCTGCGGATTTTGGCCGTGTTTGATTGCTCTCGCCCTCGCGGTGCAGATTTTAACCTCGAACTCAACCCTCTGCGGACTTTGGGCGTGTTGACTCGCTGTCGCTGTGGCGCGGCGCGGTTTTTCAAGCATCGGAAACGAACCCCTCTGCGGACTTCGGGCACGTTGAATCGTGGCCGCTGCGATGAGAACTTTGAATGTCGTAAGAAGAGGTGTTGCGCAGGACCTGCAAAGAACCTCACTCAAGTGATCTTGTAGCGGGTGCTCCCTTCAGATCTTGAACAGAGAAACTGAATAGTTATCGTGGATCCTTGGCACAATCTCGCCGAGAGACCTACCCAGACATCTTGCGCAGAGGTCCTCCAAACATTGTGTAAAGTTCCCCCCGTATATGTTTTGCGCTTTTCTCAAGAGTGCAAGGGATCCTGTCCGGAGATCCTGCGTGCAGATCTTGCCAACAGATCTTCCAACAGATCTTTCGCTGAGATCCTGTCAAAACCCAGAGACATCTTGCGCCGGTGCTTCACAGACCGCAGGAGCTGCAGAGCTTTCCTTTCAAGACGTCTTGTAGAGGGTGCTCATTCGGATCCTGTGGGTGGTCCTGTGGACGAATCGGGAGACCCTACCAATAACATACCCCACCCACACAATTCTCCCATAAATATGTTGCGCCGATAAATTTCTTGCGCCGGGCCTGCAGAGATTTCCTTTCAAGCGAGCCTGTAGAGGATGCTCCCGACAAAGGGCGCCCTATAAAGAGATCCTACCCAGAAATCTAGCGCAGAGACCGTAAGATTTTCCGAAAAGATATGCGCCGGTCCTTCATTCAGATTCTCCCAACAGATCCGGGGCATCTTGGCTTGCGCACAGATCTTGCCAAGCGACCCCATCAAGAGATCCTATCCGCAGATCCTGCAAAGCCCTTCCACCGAGATCTTGCCAAGAACTTTCTACAGCAACATTCGTAGAGTTTCTCTCCGAGAAATTTTGCGCGGAACCTCTTTTCGCAGGAAAGAGCTTGCAGATGGCTTCTTTTTGAAGAGCACCTGTGAGACCTGCTATGGAGACCCTGTGTGGTCATTTCAATCAATTAGTTAAGCAACTGAGCGCATTTCACAATGTTTTCTAGATCCTATTGACCAAGGTTTGGGGTCACTTGCCGGGATAGGCTAGTTGCCCTTTAAAACCAATCCAAGAAGGGCCTCAAGAAGATGCTCGTTCGCAATCAGGACCTTCATCATGAATATGGCCATGAATATGGCCATCCGCACACGTTTCACAAACCCTGGCACAGCACTGACAGCGGGGAGGCTTGGCTTATTGGCAGCCGAAGGTCAGTCAGTTCACCTGGTTGCTGGAACAAGACGCGTTTCAGGCTGAGTGTCAACATGGGTGTGTCTTCGTGGCTTTTTCGCTGATTCTAACCAGCCAGTTTTGGAGCCCCCGCATCTTGAGGAAGCACATAGCCTTTGAGGGCCCATCGAAAGCACCCCAAATGTCGGAACCCTGGTATTCCGACCAGGGTCGAGGGGCCGGCGTGGTCTTGGCATATCGGTGGCCTGTACGAACTCATATGAGTCAACCTCAGAATTATCAAAGACCACTTTATCAACGGCGTTTCATTCAATACTGGTTTTTTGCATTTTCCTTGGAGAACGATAGGGGACTCACAAAAAACGATACCCCTGAACATGGTTTGTGCTGGACCTTCGAGCTGGAGCTGCCGAAGTCTAACTTGTGTACCGTGCCTGTACTGAAAGCTGCGACTTGCGACCTGGAGGTTGCTGCCAGCAAGCAAAAGCCGCTTAGACTGACACGTGACCGCCGCAAGCTGCGACCTTCGAGCTGGAGCTGCCGAAGTGTAACTTGTGCACTGCGCTTGTGGTGAAAGTTGCGACTTGCGACCTTGAGGTTGCTGCCAGCAAGCAAGCCGCCAAGACTGATATATGATTACCGCAAGGCAGAGAAGGCTATTGTGTGTTTGCTTGGCTCTAACAGCTTATGGAGAATTGTGAAAATTTTCGTCACGCGACACACGCCCAGAACGATACCCCGGTCGATACCCCGTCGATACCCCGACCATTGACCCGAGTTGCAAATGTGAGGCCTAGTGCATTTGCTTACAAAAGACTACGCGTGTGGTTCCAGTGCTGTGTTTGGAAAGTTTGTCGGGCGCTTTTCGAGTTCACGCGGCGCTATAGCGAGAGCGCTTGGGCACGCGTGGTCACCGCGAAGAGGGTTCACCGGGCACTTTCCAAATTCGCACGGAGTCGCAGCGAGGGCGCTTTGACACGCGCAATCCTCGCAGAGGGTTCATTGGGCACTTTACGAATTTGCACGGCGCCACAGCGAGAGCGCTTGGGCGCGCAGGATCACTGCAGAGGGTTCACCGGGCACTTTCCAAATTCGCACGGCGTCGCAGCGAGGGCGCTTTGACACGCGCAATCCTCGCAGAGGGTTCATTGGGCACTTTACGAGTTTGCACGGCGCCACAGCGAGAGCGCTTGGGCGCGCAGGATCCCTGCAGAGGGTTCATCGGGCAGTTTTAAAATTCGCACGGCGTCACAGCGAGGGCGCTGTGGCACGCGCAATCCTCGCAGAGGGTTCATCGGGCGCTTTACAAATTCGCACGGCGCCACAGTGGGAGCGCTTCGAGGCGCGCGATCCCTGCAGAGGGTTCATCGGGCACAGCACGAACACGCGAAACGTGGAGAACGACAGGGGACTCACTAAAAGTAGAATGAATACACCCCACACAGCAAATATAGACGCTGGCTCATATATGAACCCATAGGTGAACCCATGGTCTCGTTGAGTTTTTCGTGCAGAAAAGACTCCCTTTCGCAGCTGCGTCGTGCTAAATGCTAGTGCTTGTTTAGTTCCTATGTTCTGGAATGTTTTTTTCACAAACTAGCTTTGCAAACAGGACTCAACATACTCGATGTTGAACATAGCGCTAAAGGGTGGTTGAACCTCCCTGATGCGACAAGGTTCAGGCGAGCATCAGCTATCGGATGGACGATATTGCTTCCAAGCACACGACCAGGGTTCCATGGAGGGGAGATCTGTCGACATTGACTAGGACCCCCCAACGACAGCTTGCGCCCGTCTTCCACTTCTGCGGATAGTCATCTGACAAACACACAAGGGGAATATAGTAAAGCTAATATATAAGCCTTTTCTAACCATGTTGGTAGAACCGAAAGTCAATGAGTTTTGGGCGCCCACCTGGCAAACCGAGCTCACACATGAAGGTCCCGCTTGGATCTGGTGGGTGACATTTCGTAGTTGGTTCAGATTTAGTGCCCTTTTCGGCAACCCACACCGCGGTTTTGAAAAGGCCATGTTGAAATCGGATTTTTCTGTGCTAAAGCTGGCATTCCTGACTGCGAACCCATAGAAAATGATAATCGCCCCCTTTCCTGGTCTAATGAGTGTGGTTGTGGCCCAGCACCGCTGTGAGCAATCACACAGAGAAGAGCCAAAATGTAGCTTTGCAATTCAAGGAAAGGACGCTGTCTTGCCTTTATGCCTGGTGCTGATGGCGGGGCTGAGTAGAGAGCATCGATGCCCCAGCTCACGACTTCACAAAAGAAGGGTGCCGATCGGAGACGTAAGCAGACAGTATCCAAACCCCCCCCCCCCCCCCGCGGGGCTGATTTCCACCAAATGACTTTTTTTTATTGCCATACAGTAGACTCAATTCGGGTCGTGTAGTTTGGGTCGTATAGGCCCTTCGAGCGCAGTGCCCAGGAGTATCACCATCCGACCGAGTTTCACCACTGGCGTGGCGAGGCTTGGCACAATTTTGTCGCAGTTTCATTGCCGCTGTGGCAGAATAGGGGTTTGCAACCCCCAAATGGGCGGTTTCCCTTTTGTTTCCCTCTAAGCTACCTGCAAAACGGAAGACTCATTCAAGCTTCCCCCTAGTTAACTACAGGACAGCTCCGGTGACGGCGACAGCTCCGGTGACGGCGACAGCTCCGGTGACGGCGACAGCTCCGGTGACGGTGACGGCTCCAGCGTCGGGGGCGGCGACGGATCCAACGACAGGGACGGTGACAGCTCCAACGCCGCGGGCAGTGACAGCTCCAACGCCGGAGACACTGACGGTTCAGGCGTCGGGAACGGCGACGGCTCCAACGCTGGGGGCGCTGAAACGCCCAATGCCGGGGACGCCGACGGGTCCATTGCTGGCGACGGCTCCAACGCGGGTGCTGGCGACTCCAACGTTGGCAGCGGCGACAGCTCCAGCGCAGAGGATGGCGACGGCTCCAACGCAGAGGATGGCGACGGCTCCAACGCAGAGGATGGCGACGGCTCCAACGCAGAGGATGGCAGCGGCTCCAATGGTGTTTCCAATGGCTCCAGTGGCGGCGACATCTCCAACGCTGGGGAAGGCGACCGCTCCGCAGCAGGCAGCGGGTCCGCGTCCGCTGTGACGTCAAAGCCTGCGCGCGAAAAGAAGGAGGACTGCGGGGGAGGGGGGTTGTGTCAACGATTTGCAAAAGGAGCCTTGCGCCTAACCCACAAACAGAGGGCGCAAATAGGTTTGTTTAGTGTCTTTTGTCGCGCCTTCTGTCGCTTGGCTGACATGTCAAGGAAGTCATTGACAGACGGTAATGCTCCAAACTTGAGCAACTGCAGGGGGCAGCGATTCCCAGATTGCTGTGACTGTGTGTGTGTGTGTCAAAACAGGGGAGTAGTTTTCTTTTTGGTTCCCATTAAAGCCAAGCCGGAAATTTGCTGAACAAGTACGAACCTCATTTTCCCATCCGGGTTTCTTGCCATGACTTGGTGTCTTCTCTTTGCGGCGCGGCCGCCCATTTTTTTGGGCCCTCCTTCCAAAAAACGGGGCCCAGTGCGGCCAATTCTCGGGATCAGGAGCCAAAAGCAAAACCGGAGGTGCCCAAGTCGCCCGTGCGGCGTGGCCATTCAATCGACTCGCCCTTTTCGGGGTTCGGGTTTTTCGGGTTTCGGGGTGGGGGGGGCTGCTTGACTTCTTGAGTTCCTGGCATTCCCTGGGCCGGGGGCCGACTTATGAAAGAGAAACTGGACTTGAAGAGGTTTTTTGTTGGCGAACGACAAATGAAGGCTTGTTTCTGACCAGTTTGAGGACGTGCGAAGATGGGAAGAGAGAGGCCCCTTTTGCATGACGTTTTGTGAGCCGACGCAATTTGGACACCATCGGCTTTTGTGCCAAGTTTTGACTGGCCTGATGTTTAATGGGGATGAGCAGTTCACAAAGTTTATTGGTAGTCTACTGTTAGCGCTTGTTTCTCGAGACCTTCCAGTGGTGCGGTTTTCGCATTACTACATTGGGCTACGCCTGGGTGATTTTTGGGCTGAACATGGTGGTCTTGCGGGCAAGATCATGGATGACCAGGGGGGCTTCAATTGTCCCTTGTGCCGTTGGGGAGCCAGTCATTTGTCCTTAAGCACAATTTTGTGTGACCATTGCGGGGCCAAAAGCATGGCCAAACAGCCCCAGAACTGCAACAGGAGTGATAGGGCCATAGGGATGGGAATCAATGCAGGGACCAAAAACATGATTGGGGTCTCAGGGGCCAGCCTGGGCGTCATGTTTGGGAGGTCCCAGGGGTCTGTCATGAAAAGACCAAATCCACGTCACCCTATTGGATGAAGCCCTCTGAGTGGGAGAAGCAATTCACCAATCCTAGGTCTCTGGCGCGGATTTCGTCCGTTCAAAGATGGGTGAAACAGGTGCTCATCTATACGCATGTGTCAAAATAGGGAACCGCACAGACGATGGTTTCCCTTGGGTTTTCCTTTACACCCCCCTCAAACAACTTCTTTTTGTTTCCCTCCAAATACAAGCCAAATCGGGTGCAGCACTGTTAGAAACACCCAAAGCATCCCAAATGTCTCCTTTGTTGTTTAGTTTTCCTTTGGGTTTTCCTTTGCCACCAGAAGAAAACAACGCCTCAAAAAAGAAAAACAAACACCCACCTTCTTTTTTTCTGTTTGCTTTCCTTTAAGAAAACCATCAGCCTCAAAACAGAAAGACAAGCAACAAAACATCAACAACGCCAACCCCTTTTTTGTTCCGTCCGGCGCCAACTCGTTCCGAGGCAGTCGTCTGGGCCGGCGCCGCCCGCTGCGGACGCGCCGCAGGCGCCGCAGGCCCAGCACAACTTCCCCCCGGCGGCGGTGAAGCCGACGCTGGAGCAGGTCATGCACTCGCGGACCGAGGCGCCACGGTGGGTGCGGGGCTCGCTCTTGCCGCGTTCCGTTTCTTGGGGCGTCCCGTTTTTGGGGAACGGGAACTCCACCTTGATGGGTTTAAGTCTGCTATGGCGCTAGGTCCCCAAGAATTAGTGCCCTTCTACCATCTCTTTTTTGGGGGAGGGTTCCCCTACTAAAATAGACTACAGAAACAAAGGGTACCCTTATTCCAACCTCTCCACTATCTACTGGAGGACCTAGGTGGGGTTGTCAAAAAATGGAACCCTGAAGAAAAGAACATGCGATGATGGGTTTGGGGAAGGAGACGCGCGGTTCGAGTTCTTCCAAAAGAATTTGGGGCGCTGAGGGAAGGTGTTTTTGTCTCGCACCAGCGTAGGGAACCACAGGTTCCCACCATTTCAAGACAAACGCAATGGCAAATGGCTGGCTACAGGGTGAAACGCCTGAGATCGCTTGGATCTCAAAAAATCAGAAGAAGCATTGGCCAACCCTACCCGGACCCCAAACGGCTATCCAATGGTGCCTTGCCCGGTGGATTCATGCACAGCAGGTAAGCAAGGCAACCACCCTCCAACCTGGCCAGTCTTTGTGACCATATTGCCCTTGAACACCTGCTGCGCACAAACGGCATTTCCATTAAACCTGCAGAGATCCATCTTGCCCTTTGGCCCAATGGCTCCTTCGGGGAGGAAGCAACCCACACCGAACGGGTGGCTGACCTGCACGAAGTGAGATCCCACGAAGCGCCTGTTGGACACCCAAGAGGCCATTTCGCCTTTTGGCGTGAAAGGCTTGCCTTGGTGACCGATGTATCCACAGAATGGTCTGGCATCACATAGGGTTTGCGGGCTATGCGAGCCCTGTGAAGTTGGGAGTTCACAAGGAAATGCCAGAGGGGCATGGAATCATTAGGTATAGGAAATGGGTTTGTTTTCTTATTTTGTGGGGAACCCACAAGTGGTTTACTTGGTGTCCCTTTGCTCTCCGTTGGTTTTCTTTGCTTCAGGCGAAGCCCGAGGGCAAGCACGAGGTCTTCGAGTTGCAGCGCCACACCTGGCGCTGTGGCTCCAAGTTCTCATGAACTGCATTGATGTGTCTAGGTCTCCCAGCTAGGTGCCCTTCCATCTCTTTTTTGTTCCCCTACTAAAATTGACTACAGCAAAAACAGGGTGCCCTTATTCTAACCTCTCTACTGGAGGACCTAGGTGTGGAGTGAGCTATGAGGTATCTTGAGGGTGAGTGAGGTTTCATGGCCTCGCTACCCTGAGTTCCTGAACTTTATAAATTATTTTTGGGCCTGCACCAAATTTAGTAAGGAATGCGTTGAGACTTTTACTGGCCACTCAGAAAGTGAGACAATGGGTGTGGCTACATGAAGAGCTGGGATGTAGAGCCCAGTTGAGTACTTCTTTGTTGCAGCCACAGCGAAATGGCAACGGTTCTCTTTGGGTTTGCCTGAAAATCTTGTCCACTTTTGGCCGGATGTCAAAAAAGATAAACAAAAAAAGCGAAGTCTTAGGGGGTCCGAATCCCATTGGAGAATCTCCCATAGGGTCCATTCATATTGAGGGCATAAATTGGCATAAAGGGTTCCTACCGGATTCCTACCTTCTAAGCTACCAAATGACCAACTTCAACACACAAAAACAAAAACGCCCTCAAAACATACCCAAGAAAGCCTATTGGCTTGGGGATTCTCCCGAGTCTGCCGGCTTTTTGCACCGAAAGGGAAAGCCTCCATGGCTAGTGACTAGTGACCTGGCTATGTGAAGTGGCCATTCGGCAGAGAAGGCGCTGGAATTTTTCATTGGAGTTGGCTCTCCCCCCCCCAAAAAAAAAAACATGTCATGTGATTGATCTCGAGAAAAAATGAGACGTCACCTTGTTCAGGGCTTCACCGCTTCCACGGCCTTCGACCGGAACGCTCCTTTCTGCAACGCGCTGAACCGCTCGTGTCGGTCGACGAGGCGCCGCGACGATTTTTTCGTTCCGAGGATCGAGATGCTGAAGTGGCAGCAGGTGAGCGGATGCCCGGCACAGCTCATGGACCAAGACATCTCTGGGGGAGCTGACGCTGGCACCTTCCACGAGGCAACAAAAAGTTGCGAACGCCTATCCGTTTTTGTTTTTTGTGTTTGAAACCTTGAAGAGAAGCTACAAATGTTGGAGAGCCCCGGAATCCCGTGAGGCAGACATCTATCCGCGCCTGACATTCTCAAGCAGAGTCAACATGAAGGGGAAAATGAGGAACATGACAACCATGCCACCCTATGAAAAGTTCCCCATCCGAGCTGGCGGATTCGCCTGGCATAGCCCATACCCCACTGGGTTTGGAGCCACTTCAACCCCCAGGAGTGTTTGACCCACCCTACCAGAGGTTACCAATTTGGAGAGCGCCACTCCATCCCCCAAAATCCTTCTGGGTCCATCAAACAAAAGCACAACAAAAATCGCTTTCATCCAAGTCTCACCCCCTCCCCCCCCAGCCCCCCTTCCCCCCCTCCGAACACTGAACCCCCTATCCCCTGAAACCTGAAACCCCGTCCGCCCCCGTCTGATGTCCCCGTGAGGTGGACACCGCGGCGGCCTGCCAGCGGCTCTGCACGGAGCGCCACGCCTGCGACGCCTGCGTCTGGGGCTCGCAGCGGGGCCAGCCAGGCGGGGCGAGGGAGTGGATCTGGCGGGGTGGAGCTCAGGTGGGGGGGGGGTGGGGGGATCTGGCTGTCAAAACCAATGAAATCCCATGGTGGAGGCGGGATGGAGGTGGGGTGGAGGTGGGGGGGAGCGGATCTCAGGTGGATCTGGCCGTGGTTGTAGATCCCATTTTGGGGTACTTTAGAACCGATTTTAGTGGGGATTGGGATGTTTTTACCGGGGGTACGGCATGTTGACCCGCGAGCGTACCCCATGTTAACCCATGGCCATCTCAGGTTGGGATGGGGTGGTGAACTTGTTTTGTTGTTCATTTTGCATAGTTTTTGGAGTGGATGTTGGGTTTTTGGTATTCATGGATTTTGGGGGTGGATTTGTTGGAGTTGTGTTGTTGTATTCATGGGTTTGGGAGGTATCGAACTGATATACCGCGCTATGTATATTCCGGCGGCCCAATCATGAGCTGACTGATCTGATGGTTCGACAACTACTTCCCATAGGCTTTGATCGAATTCCTATATGCCCAGATCCCAGTCGTTTTAGGCCTGCAACCCTTCGCCACGTTTTGGAGGTTGGGAGCCTGTAATATGTACTCATATGAGGGGTACTGGTGACCCTTGGTTAATCGATCCCCTTCCCAAAACAAATCCAAGCCCGGAAACATATGTGCTGGGTTGTGTTGCCGGGGCCAACTTTGAGTTTCCATTTGATTTAGCATTGCCCTTTGAGACCGGTTTTTAGACATTTGAGTTTTCACTTGACTCAGTATTGCTCGAGTTGTTTTTTTCTCGATTGATTTAGTATTGCTGTTCGAGTTTATATTTGATTAAGTCTCGTGGGTTGAACATTGCACTTTCTCGTTTTTCCGTTTTTATGTCTGGGGGTACATAATGTGTGTTTTGCATTCTCAAGTACTCCCTGCCCTTCATTGTGGGATTGATTAGGGCTAGCTTTTATATGACACCAGGCAACAGAAAGGGTTTGGTGGTTGATATTGATTGTTTCTGGCAATTGTAGTGTTGGGTAGTTTGGCTGAAGCCTGGAAAAAGCTGCTGAATTGGGATTTGGATTCAAAGATCTTTGAGTATGTACCTTTGGGGGATCACATCATTACCCAGATGGAGGGAACACAAGGTTCCTAAATCTAGCCTCTCGCTAATCTTGAATGCCTCTGTGGATGTTTTCAGTCGGCCATTGGCTCTTTGTCTAGGTCCCCCAGTAGTGCCCTTTTACCATTTCTGTTTTTTGGTGGAGGGTTCCCCTACTAGAATAGACAAAGCCGAAAACAAAATCGAGTACCCTTTTTCTAGCCTCTCTGGAGGACCTATTGTACCTGTGTTCCCCCCCCCGCCCTCTGCCCCCCCCCCGCCCCCTGCCCCCCCCTCCCCCCCCCCCCCCTCAACCGCCCCCCCGGTCATTGGACCTTTGAGGCCTCACGGACGTTTGCTTCCTGAAGAAGATCGACGGCGCCCCCCGCATGATCCCCCAGGCGGGCGTTGTGGCGGCCCTGCCCTGCTGTCGCGCTGACGCGGCCGCTTGGACGAACTCGAAGAGCCACAAGACCCGGGTGGATGAAGCTTAGAAAGGGGAATCCCAGCCACAAATACTAGGTCCCCCCAGTAGTGCCCTTTTGCCCTTGTTTGGGGCAGAGTTCCCCTACTAAAATAGACTACAAAAAAAGGTACCCTTATTCTAACCTTTTTAATGGAGGACCTAGAATAGGTGCGGCTGCCTTGTTACATGACTTCCAGGCTTTGATTGTGACTCAAATGGAGCTCCTCCTACTTTACCGGGTTGGAATCCTCCCTCTTCCCCGCTCGCATATCACCCCCCAAGAATCAGATGGCCATGGGTCATAACCTATGGCTTTTGGGGCGGATGAACACCCATGTACCACCTGACCTGGGCTGTTTTTGCTGGTGCTCAGCAGGGATGAGCCATCCCTTGTGGTCATTCCTGGGCTCATTGCCCCACATTCCCTACTGATCGCACCAGCAAATGTTTTCTCCAACTTTCCCCAATTCAAAGGGTTTGCAGGAAGATCTACAGGAAATGGCTATGGACTTTCCCGTTTTCCTATGGAATTTCTGGTAACCCAACCCTTTACATCCATCCGGGGCCCCGGTCGAAGCGTTTCGGCGCCTCGGCAGCACTCGGCGGAGCGCACCTGGCGCATCTTTAGGCGGAGCAGCGTTGCCCGGAGGCGGCGGAGGACACGGACCTCCTCACCTCCGCGGGCCTCCCTGCCAGAGAAGGCGGGTGTTGAGGATCGACGGTGGCGTGGAGGGGAGCGTATTTTTTTTGCCAGGTTTGGTGAGGGAAACCATGATGCTGTGGCTCAAGCGGTTGAGAGGGCAGGTGGCGTTGGGGACCGTTTTTGGCAGGCTCAAAAACATGGAGACCAAAATCGGCAGCTTGGTATTGGGGACAGCATCATGAGCACTGGAATCCGTTCTACCATTTTTTTTGATGGGGGGTCTGAAGCCCTCTTTGGATACAGACCCAATGTTGGGTGGGTGGGTGGGCTGAGGGTGCTTTAAAGTGATGCCCTTGAAGTCCAAAAGCGAGGAGCAAACAGGGACACCATCACCAGTTGAACAAAAACAGCAGGGACATCAGCCGAACAACCAGAAAGCCACTCCAAGACAGAACTCTACCTAACAACTTCCAGGCCCAAAGCAGCGCCCCGGATCTATTTCACCCAAAACTCGGAAAAACAACTTGGGCACCGGAGTCTCCGGGCACCAGCTCTCGCGGGACCGCGGAGGCGTGAACTCGGTGGAGCAGTGCCAAAAGCTGTGCACGGCGGAGCCCAGCTGCCACGCCTTCGTGTGGGGCGCGGCCAGGCGGGGGGGGGGGGGGGGGGGTTTTTGAAGGGCCGCGCGAAAGGGAGGGAGGGACGCTGGGGGAATGAGGCTGGGGTGTGTGTGTGCACTTTGTAAACATATATATATATATATTATGTATATGTATACAAGAAAGATATGTAGAGGCATCTCTCTCTCTCTCTATATATATATATATATATATTATACATACACATATATACATATACGTATGAATACATATGTGTGTATATATGTATATAGAGAGATACGTCTATACATGGGTGATTATAGTTGACTTAAGTTGCTTGGGTGGGTTAGGTTGGTTGGACCTTGTTACCCGGTTTGTCAGTGTTGAGAATTGTTCGTCGAGGTTCCAGGTGAATTCTTTCTCGGGAGAGAGGGAAAGTTTCCATGGTGAAAAGGGCTGCTTTTGGGTGGTGGTCCTGGGGCTCTTGATTTTGGAGTTGTTTCATTTGGGGTTGGATTGCATGGCCATCACATGTCGGGCTACCCTTAGTGGGTGGTTTGGATTGGTGGGTTAGGATTCGAACCCCAGGTCCTTTTGACTCAAAAAGGATTTAAAAGGGAAAGGCACCTGTTTGGCGTCCAGGCCACCGGGTTTCCAAGCCACCAAAAAAAAGGGAAGCTGAATCAGCTTGCTCTGAGTTGCTGGTTTGGAGCCCGGTGGCTTGGATTGGTTGAACTGGGGTCAAACCTCCATTTCCCCCAACCAATCCAAACCTCCATTCAATGCTTACGTCTTGGCTATGGCACACTAGGGCCGGACTTGGGATTGGGGCTGCGGAATCACAGTACCGTGAACGGAATCCAGGAGCCCGGAGTGTCCCTGCCGAGGAAAATGAACCTGGAACAAGCTAAGCTCTGTTATTTTCCTTTGTATTTTCTTTTGGGGGGGATGAATTGTCAGCATGAAAAGGGGGCATTTGATGCATTCTCACGAACAAAGAATCTTTGGACTTCCACAGGGTCCATGGTCGGGTTCCTTCCCCAAGGGAGGCGAGATCGGAGGGAGCAACCCTCGACTTGGGGGCTGCCCTTGGTATCGGTGCTAGGCTGAGGGGACTTTGCTGAAGGACAAACAAAAACGCCAAACCGCATCTTGGAAGAACCAACCTTCAAGAAGTCTGGGGCAAATTCTAAGGAGCTGACCGGGCAACACAAGCTCACCCGAGATGAAGGTCCGTTCCTTCATCAAGTTTTGGCACAGGAAGTTTGCCTGATGTTCGGAACATCAGCAGTCTGTCCTTACCACTGAGCTGGTTTGCCAATGCGTCATAGGGGTCGGGTTCATAGCCCTAGGCACCCGGAAGCTCCCGAAGGACCTCAAAGGTTTGTCTACCGGGAAACCAGGGGGCAATGGCATCGGGAATTGATCTCTGGGATCACCCGGACCCCTCCAAACAAGGCGGGTTTTGGTTCTTACGCTCTAAAGCCTCCAAGGGGACCCAGGCTGGACCTCCCCGTTGTTTGCTATTCAAATTGTGTGTAGGATTTCCTCCCAAGCTATTGTCAGGGCCCGGGAAGACGAAAACTAAGACAGAAACATAAAGCTCGATTTTCTGACCGTCCCTTTGCTGTGTGCTGTTTTTTTTTGGTACGCTGGAGGAACGTGCCTGGGCTTACGGACGTGTGCTTCATGAAGACCTTGGGAGTGGACGAGAAGCCACAGCTCTCGAGCAAGCCCGGAGTCATCGCAG